TTTTTAATTTTTTAATATATGCCATATCTTATCTCCTTTGAGAAAAGTTTCAGGGCCCGAATGTCATCCGAATCGCTCCCCCCTCTTCCCCAACACCGCATCGTTGTACGTTTTTCTTTTCTTTTTGGGATCTATTTTTGTTCTGCAATCATATCCCTATAACTGGTAAAGTTTGAGCTTTGTTAACGCAACCAACAGCTAGGGTGTGGAGCGGTGTCAGTGGATTTCTTGGCCACAGTTGCTTCCTATCCTAACCCTGATGACAAAATCAGAAGCACTAGCTTAAAGGTTCTTATGCTAATATCTACATTTCCTACCTCATCTACTGATTTTTGACTTTTTCCTTTTTCTTTTTCTATTTTGAGTGTTTCAATTATTTCCGTTTTGATGGATTCTAACTTTGCAGTGAGATAATGCAGTTCATATTTGGTCAATTCTGTCTTCTATTTCTTTTGTGATTAATTAATTATTTTGGCATTTGTTTTCTTAGGTTCGAGGAGGCGGCAATGCTGGAAATTCGTTAACTTGTGCTGCTCGTTTGGGATTAAACCCACGATTAATTTCTAAGGTCTTACATATCTCTGCACCTACTTTCTTTCTCTTTTTACTTCCACTCCACTGTAAACTTGACTATTGACTGCAGTAACATTTTTGTTGTATCATACAAATCATTAGGTTGTCAATGATGCTCAAGGCAAGAGTATACTGGAGGAGCTTGAAGCTGATGGAGTCAACACTTCCTTCTTTATTGTAAGCTTTCGAGATAACTTTTGATTCATGGTTTTGGAATTGATCTTTATTCATTAGCCTGCTGTAATAGTTGTTCTTATCTTGATTGATTTATAGAGGTTATTTGTCTTGAAGATTTATTCCATTGGTATTTTGGCTATGTGACTCCAGAAATTATGCTCCACCCAGATTCTATATAAATATGTATAGATCATTTGTATATGTAGATCATTAATTTCCTGAGCCCAAGTTAGAAGGAAGGAAAATGACCTAGGAACTCCGACCATTATACCAACATTTAGCAGAGATCAACCCGTCAATGAATGGGTTTTATCATTTTTAGTTTACCAAGTACACGTGCATCTCATCTTCTATGGCACTGTTTCTTGGTGAACCAAGCAAATCTGTGTTATTTGCTCGGTTCATATGCATGTTTTTGCTTCTCCCGCTGAATATTAAAATGAGAAATCTTTTTTCCAATGATGTACCACAGAAGCCTTGTGCACTGGGCCACCTTTTATTATATCATGCATCTTTTACTGCCATTAACTGTTGCATTATGACCTTAACTCTCTCGCACAGCTTGTAGCAGAGTATACTGTGAGATCAAATTCAAGTCTGGAGAATTTTGACTGAATTAGATAATGATGAAAATTAAGTGTTACATTTTTTATCAAGAAAAAAATAGATTATATGTGTGTTACTCATTGGGGATGTTTTGTACAAGACAAGCCAAGTAGTTATTTTGGCTTCAATAAACAGTAGTACTATATTTTCTTTTTCTCTTCTTTCAAAAAAAAAAAAAGAAAAAAATCTCTCTCTGACTTAATTATGTTGCTTTCAGGTTTCTGAGGAGGGTAATTCACCATTTACTTATGTTATTGTTGACAACCAAACGTGAGCACTTACACTTACATGGCTATGACATTCTGTAAATTTTGATATTCTCCCCTTATTGTTTTATTCTCAGCCTTGGTTTATATGTTATCCTTTCAGTAAGCAGTGTCTTTCCTTGAAAAATTCTCCTTTTCTGTTTGTCTCTTTACACAGACATTTGGGATCTGCCTTTATTAGGTTTAAAATACTGAAAATTGTCTTCAGCAGAGTGGGTTAGACGGCTAAAGTCACTTTGGACTTGGTCCTACGGCTCTTTCTTTACGATAATGTGGATGTTAAAATGTATTTTCAATTCATTTACCTTTTCTTTGGGTGTGGCATCTTACACTCATGACAAGAACAACAACAACAACAAGTGTCTTATTTTAAAAAATGAAGTAAAAGGAAAAAATCCAGGATGTTGGCTGACTGAAGTGATTCGGCCAAAATGCATATTATTATTGGAAAAATCATTAATGAATTGAAGTAAATACTCATGTATCCAGTTGGTTGACCCTAAGTAATAATTTCAGGAAAACTCGTACCTGTATTCACACCCCTGGTTATCCACCCATGATACCAGAGGAGCTTTCTCAATCAAGTTTATTATCTGCATTGGATGGAGCAAATTTGGTCTATTTTGATGGAAGACTGCATGAAACTGCTTTAATTGTTGCGAAAGAGGTAAATTTTCCTTTTCTTCTTCTGCTTACATCATCGAGGTAGATGAAACTAAGAGCTATTGTAGTGGTTGGTGGTTTGAATTGATTCAATAATGTATTTTCAATTTCCTACTTTTCTAATATAACAGTTGTCAAATTGGTTTCTTGGTTGAAAAACTATGATAATGGAGAGTTTGTTATTGTTAACAGTTAGGCTGCTCACAGGCTTCTGAGCAACTAATGTTCTAATTGAAAGCCTCTAATAGGACCAAGTTCATTGAATTTTCCTTATTTTATGTTCCATGATTAGCTTTAGCTTCAATTTATGGCATACTTTATGTTGGCAGTTTGCCATTCTAATTGCTAAAATATCAAGTCCTTCCTCTATGTTCTTCATCAAGATTAATATCAACCAATAGCAAGTCAATAGCATTTTTTTGGATTTTTCCAGTACAGGCAGCTCGG